CCTCTCAGCTCAGTGTACATTATCTCTGACTCCGGGTCCCTTCAAAGATGATGTGAGCCAGGGCCACCTGCCAACATCTCTCTGCCATAGCAATGCTAAGGGCCAAAGCCATGTCATCTCCCAGAGAAACTGGTGCTCAACATTTTTCAGCTTCAATGAAAACTAAGTGCCTGGCTTTCCCACTCTGTCATGTAGAAATGCAGATGGCCACTCTCACTGCTATTTTAAAACCGCTCTAGGTGATCATGTGATTGGTTAACATGGCCTAACATGCCATGGCAACATTTTGTGGGGAAAAAAGTCTAAAACAAGTAAAATATTAAGTTTTCTCATGAAAGGAAAAGAATCCAAACCAAAAGCTTTTTATGAGTCAGCAAGCCAATTAGGTTGAGATCATCAAACTATATAAACATGAGCTTTCTGGAAGGCAAACAGTATTCCAAAGTAATCAATCTCTCCTCACTGGTCAAATTTGAAACCTGCTCCAAAATCTCTTATCCTCAACCCAGTGACTTTGTGTCTTTAGTTCTGTGTTTTAATGACAGCAAAGAATGTCATCTGCCTAAAGTCTACTGTACAGCATGACTCAACAGTAGGTCACATACCAACTCTGTTGTTGTTATTATTTGGGGCTTACATCACACATTTAAATGCCATATGCTCTCCAATCATTTGTATTAGTCTACACAACGCCAACCTAATATTCTTAAGGATCACTGTTTCTGTTTTATAGAAGACACAAAGAGGTCATGTGATTCATCTAAGGTCACACAGCAAGTTTCTTAAGATCACAGGTAGAGTTGTGAGACATGGGAGAGGCTGCTACATGGTTGGTTGGTATCTTAATCTTTCTCCAGTCCAAGAAAGGCAAATTGGTAGCATTGCACAGACTTTTTTTTTTAATTCTGGTCTTCCCACTGCATGGTGTGACTGGCTGTGAAGAATAAGATAAGATTCCTTTTGCCACTCTTTTTTATTTTTGAGACAGAGTCTCACTCTGTTGCCCCAGCTAGAGTGCCGTGGCGTCAGCCTAGCTCACAGCAACCTCAAACTCCTGGGCTCAAGCAATCCTCCTGCTTCCGCCTCCCCAGTAGCTGGGACTACAGGGATGTGCCACCATGCCCAGCTAATTTTTTCTATATATTTTTAGTTGGCCAATTACTTTCTATTTATAGTAGAGACGGGGTCTCGCTCTTGCTCAGGCTGGTTTCAAAGTACTGACCTTGAGCGATCCTCCCACCTTGGCCTCCCAGAGTGCTAGGATTACAGGCGTGAGCCACCACGCCAGGCCCCTTTTGGCACTCTTAAAAAGGAAACCTTTCAATAATTCTCCTCATTTAAAGGAATGACCAAGGGAAAGCCAGACCCAGTGCCTCTCTAACACCTCCTCTGCGCAAATCCTGAGCTGCATATAGAGAAACCAGCATGGAAACCCCAAATGTGACATAATTCTAGCCTAGAATTCAACTGGCCCTACATACGTGATTCTTTTCTACTAAACCTGAGATTATGATCAAGACCAGAGAATGACTGTGGTTTTTATTACCAGAGACTATGCGAATTGGTGCTGGACGATGCACATTAACCAATGTCCAACGGAATTCTCAGAGTTATGAATGTACATGTACACACATGCATATCCAGGGTCTACTATAGCTCACTGGGTAACAAGGCTGTGTATTTTACAAGCATCCCATTTTAAAATGTCTCTGGAATGGGTGTTCAGGAGCAGCTACAGGAACAGGTAAGAAAGGCAGGAAGGGAAAGAAGGGCTTTTCCTGAACTGAACTGCCTTTCCTTGGCTTTGGGGTATCTGAGAGTCTTAGTTTCTTGGCAAGCTTGCTTGGCACACTGCTCATGGCAGGCACAGCCATACAGGTGTGCTCTGGGTTTCAGGCCAAGGGAAGGGCACCTCCCTCTCCCAGAAGCTACTCCAGAGGAGGGAAAAACATTGGCAGCAACTTGGTGCACTGGATCTAAGCAATGGTGAAACTCCTTCCCCTGCCTGGACACGTGTTTTATGGGGAGCAGGAAAAACTTGGGGGTTGGGGTGGCAAGGAAGGGAGGGGTCTTTGCAGATGGGGGAGGGAAAAGAAAACAACAGAGCCAACTTTCCTATCCTGGTCTGAGCCCACACTACAAACAGATACATTCTTCCTCATTGGAGAATAATAATCCCTTTATCCAACCAGTCTGGAACCTGATAATTGATTTCAGGCCTCAGATGGAAAGTTGGGAAGGTATGGGTAGTTGGAAAATGGGGGGGGATGTGGAACCAACAAAAGGCAGGGTGAGGGTAAGTAGGATGGCTTAATGAAGCTAAAGAGGCTAAAGACTTCAGACACTGAAGGCAGATTTTCTGCCACTAATACCACTCTGCAACATGCCAGGGTAGCTTCCTCAGAGGAGCCTTGGAAGAGGCAGGTTGTAGGAATGTGCCAGGTACCAGGCCAGCTCCCAGCTCTACCATTAGCTGTAAGGCCCTGGGCAGCAAGTGCATAGTCTGAAGTCTAACCTGGCTCTGAACAGTCCTTCCTTCCTTCCTTCCTGTTCTGACAGTCATTCTATTCATGCTCACATGTATTGAGCACCATTTGTTCTGGGCCGGGAGGTGAGGGTAGGGCCGGAGGAGGGAAGAATCCCTTCTATAAACAGCCAAGTATTTTAGGCTTTGCAGGCCACATGGTCTGTGTCACAACTACTCAGCTCTGCCACTGTAGCACAAAGCAACCATAGATAATATATACATAAGTCAGCATGGCTGTGTCCCAATAAAATTATTTATGGACACTGAAATTTGAATTTCATATAAATTTTTTCATGTCATGAAATCATCTTCTTCTGAATTTTTTCAACCATTTAAAAATATAAATGACTAACTTGAAGGTCACACGAAAGCAGAGAGCAGGTAGGTCCAACCCTGTTAGTCACAGTTTACCAAATTCTGCTCTAGAGATATAGTGATGAATAAGACAGAGTCTCTATGCTCTGTGGTTCTGTAACTCCCACTTCTAGAGGCTTCCTCAGTTTTGGAGTGGCCCTACAAAAGTAGGCCCTGCTTTACATTGGTATAGCCTATCACCAGAATAGTGTTCACTGTACCTGACATGTAAGTTGTTACCCCTTCCCCCCTCCTGCCTTCTTGAGTTCCAATGACCTTTACATCTCCTTGTGCCTGTGTGTTCCCATCAATTAGCTCCCAATTATTAGAGAGTACATGTGGTGTTTGTTTTTTCATTGCTGAGATACTTCACTTAGGATAATGGTCTCCAGTTCCACAGACTGATTGTCTTTTCCTTCTTTACAATACAATCATGATGGCCACACCAGGTCCCAAACATCATGGGCCCCTTGGGTTGTGCCAGGGGCTTCTCATGGCTAAAGAAAGGTTTGGGTTAAGGGTCAGAGGAGGAGGAAGGAGAGGCAAAAGAAAAGTAAATCTGGCCTGAGCCAGATTCCCTGAGCCAAAAGGAAACCAGCCTGACCAACGGTGAGACCCCGTCTCTGCTAAAAATGGAGAAAAATTAATTCGCCAACTAAAAATATATATAGAAAGAATTAGCCAAGCACAGTGGCGCATGCCAGTAGTCTCAGCTACTGAGGAGGCTGAAACAGAAGGATCACTTGAGCCCAGGAGTTGGAGGTTGCTGTGAGCTAGGCTGACGCCATGGCACTCTAGCCCAGGCAACAGAGTGAGACTCCGTCTCAAAAAAAAAAAAAAAAAAAAGGAAAATCTGTGTGTGGGTGGTACGGAAAGCTATGATGGAACAAAAAAACAATAATTGTTTCTCTCAAAAAGAAAATGAGATTGCACTATTATCTGTATGTTTTGGGTAAGTAGGTGGTGGGAGTTGATAGAAAGGGAAAGGGAATGGAAGAGATAGCACTGAGCTATGGAACTCTACAGACACAATATACCACTCCCCCAACACCTCCCAAGAAAGTCCCCTCCCAGATCTAGTTCTGAGATCTCTCTCCAGGGAGCACTGTCCAAGGAAACTGTCACAGACTTCTAAGGAAGTCTGGTAGGAACACAATTACAGGTGAGCTCAGTGAGGATACTGGAGCTCACAGACCCAGAAGCAGGTTTTGGCATACCATCCAGAGACCTGCCATATACACCCAACATGTCCTTCCTAAAGAGGACCACACAAAGAGAACCTGGAAGGGTCTTTGGAGCATTGTTGAAGGTAACAAGGACTGTACAAACTCAAAAAGGCTCAGTGCTGCATTTCTAGCCCCTGCTAGGGCCCCTCCAGCTCACCATGTTCAATCAGAAAGCACTCAGAATCATGAAAGCATAAACTCAGGGAGCTAGAAGTGACTTTAAAGATTATCTAGGTCATCCCCTTCATTTGACAAAGGGAGAAACTGAGCTGGAGAATGGTTAAGTGGCTTGTCCAAGATCACAATGTTTACAGTGTCAGCAAACCAGGTCTTACTTTTGCTAAATTACAAGACCTCAACTATGCACTCATTCTGAAAAAAAACACAGAAAGACAAGAAACAAATAAAAAAGAGCTAACAATCATTAAGGGCTTACTATGTTATCTCAATCTTCAAAACTACCCATTGAGGTAAATACTATTATTACTCCATTCTGCAGCTGAGGAAACTGAGGCTTATGGCAGTAAAGAGACTTGCTCAGGGTCACAGAGCAAGCAAGTGGGAGGCATGGGCCGTGAACGCAGGTAGTCTGATCCCCAAACCTGCACCCTTACCTGTATATCGCGCTCTGAACCCTGCACCTCTGTCCTGCCTGATGATGACTACTGCGGGGGGGGGGGGTGACAGGTTATCACCAGCAGGTTCCCACACAGCCTCCTCTGGCTGCCTTATCAGGCGCTGGAAGGCCTGGCTCCCTCCTCTAGATACCCCACAGCACAAAAGCCCTCCTACTCTGCTCTCCCTGCCAGGAGAGTCCCCTGTCCTAGCCTTCCAGAGAAACAGTGACATTAAGTCTTCTCCCTCCCAGACACAGAAGGCAGGTCAGGACTTACCGGAAGCGAGCCCATCTCCAAGCAGGGTGCTAAGGATCACCAGTGGAAGGAATGCTCCATATCTCACAGAGGACACGCCAAACGCTGAGGTGCTCTTTGGTGCTATCCTGCCATGGCACATCTTTTATCCGTCCAAGTTTTTTTTAAGAGAAAAAATTTAAAATCCAGAAGTAAGAATCCTAAAGTCAACCAGAGATGGATTCACCTATAACAAACAAACAGAAAACAAAGACATAAGTAAAGTGGAAATTTTAGCCGTACGTTAGGTAAAAGCAGTCAATTTGGTAAGAAAGCTATAATCACATACAAAGTTGAAAGAATTCTAGCAATTGAATCCCTGCTGCCAGAAGAGACAAGCACAGAAGTGGCTTTTCAATTCCTCCCTGGGGAAATGCCAAGGCCTGCATCAAGCTGCCATCAGCATCCCGGAGCCAGGTTTTTCAATAGGGCCAGGAGACGGGCTCTGCTTCACGTGGACATGTTTCACCTGGACATCCGTCAGGCACAGCAGAGCTGTCAGAAACTGCCCGGCAGGCTCCAGCACAGAGGAGCAAAGGTGGATGTTGACACAGGCTCCTACGCCTGAGTCAGGCCTTGCCTTTGTCACTTGGACTCAGAACAAGTTCAACTAACCAAAAGGAAAAAAAGAGAGAGAGAGAGAGAACACGTGTCTTAAAGGGGGAAATACACCACCTAGAGAAGGAATGCAGCAGTGGGAGCTGAGGGCTCAGCCAGTTTGCTAAACCGCCAGAGGCTGGCCGAGCCCCTGAGGATCTGACTCGACAGCCTTGAATCTCAAAAATGGACTAATTAATCAAGGCTCACCCGACACACCTGTGACCACATTCTGTTGGCTGACCCTGACAGTGACAGGGGGGTGGAGGACGGGCTATAATTGCTAATTAGCCCTACCACCCACTCTGGTTCAGATAGACTTCAGAAGAGTAGGAACCAGCATCTTAAAAAAAAAAAAAAAAAATCTGGGGTCAGCACTTTTAGGATTATTTTCTACATGCCTTTAGGGAGGCCGCTGGGTTGATAATACAATATGAAGTGGGCCTGTTATATTTTAGTTCAATTATTTTATTTCATTTGCCAGTTGCTCATTTATTCCAGTTTATAATAGGTATTCCAAATAATATTATACTTCCTTTTTTTTTTAATTCTACACACACTCTTCCCCATTAATAAGGCTTTATGTGTATAGATAAGGGAGTCTGCCATCTACAATCCTAATAAAGGATGCCCCTGAGATTCTGCCAAGGTTACTAACCAGATATGATTTTAATCCATGTCTGAAGCTTGACTCGGGCCTATGTCCCCCTCCTAAAGAGGGGAACAGAAAACAGCAACATGAATGTCTCAGTCCGAAGGAAGAGCAGTTATGAGTGTCTTCTATAAGCATTAGCCAAAGGCTCATGAACAGAGTTAGCCACTTGTCCTCACCCCCTCTAATAACTGTGACTGTAGCAGTCTTCTGCTCCCAGCTTTACCTAGACTCCAATTTGAGCCTTTAATGCTGTGGAACGGGGGTGCTTCATGAAGAGGTGCAGGGGTAGAACTTGTGAGTGCCTCAAAACAGTACACAAAACTAGGTGTTTGTGTGTGTAGTAATGTGTATGCATTTATGTGGCTAAGAACAATAAAGTCAGAATGCCTAGATTCAAATCTGTTTCCTCTATTAGTCACAATAACTCTCTTAGCCTCAGTTTCCTCATCTGTACAATGAGGATAGTAACCATACTGTCTTTGTAGAGCAAAGGTGTAAGAATTAGAATAGACAAAGTGCCTGACACTTTGCAAGTCCTCAGTAAACACTGGCTGCTGTTGCTGTTCAATCATTAATAAGACCTCAGCCGCAGGGACCTTAGAGTTCATCCAGTTCCAGTCTCATTTGACAGATGGCAAACTAAGGTCCAAGGAAGTTAAAGGATATGACCAGGGCCCCCAGCCGGTTAGTGACAGAGTTGGAGATGGGCCCTTTGGTGCTGCCGTTTTATATGTAGCCACACCAGGTAAACCTACCAGGCAGTTGTCAACCCCTCAAGGCAATACCAGTGGATCATCAAGAATGACACCTGTGTATCCCACATCATAGCACGTGCACAACAAATATTTAAGTAATGAATGGATGAGGCCATATAGGGTGGTTAGGTGTTCTGTGCACAAGTGGAGGTAGTCAGGAAACACTACCCAGGGGAGGTGATGTTTAACTGATTCCTAAAGGATGTGCCTAGTGGGAAAAAAAAATAAGAAGAGGGGAAAAAAAGCAGGTACCAAATATAAGTGGATCAGAGTACCATGAGAGCACACACAATACTCCTGGAGGAGGCTGGAGGCAGGGGCTAAGCCAAGGGGTTTCAACCTTATCCTGAAAAGCACATGGTGCTTGCAAGGGTTCCAAACAGTGCTATTACAAGACCAAATTCATACAAGAAGATCACCATGGCAGGGATCTTAGAGGACTGGGGGAGCAGAAGTGCTGTGGGGCCAAGTGATAAAGTATGTTCAGCATTTTTTCATCAAAGTAGAGCTCATTGGAAGGCAACCTGATAATATCTGTCCCCAAAATGCACATATTCTCTGACCTATCAATTCCGTTTCTAGAATCTGTCCTTGGAAATCACATTTCCAATGACATATATGAAGGATATTCACTGCCTGGTTTGTAAAGGCATAAGATTGGAGCAACCTAAGTTCATCAAACGGGGACTAGTGAAATAAGTTACAGTACGCTCAAAAGAATACCAGTGGTTTCAAAAGAACAGTGTAGTTTAATCTATGCTAATACAGAATGACTTCTAAAATTAGTACATGTAGAAAATCATTTACATGTATGTATGTATTTTTAAAAGACACACACACACATATATACCTATATGCACTGAAAATTCCTCTGGAATGATGCACAAGAAATTGATAACTAACAACTGCCTTCAGGGAGAAGAACTGAGTGGTTAACAGGGAAGGAGAAAAACATTTTTCACTGCATATATTCCCTTTTAATCTCCTTTAGTGCTGTATTTTGTACAAATATTACCTATTTAGACAAAATATAAAGTTAACGTAACAAGGCCTTCCTGTAGACTGCCTATCTCCTCCCTCAACAAACTGGCATTCAAATAAACCTCAAGAACCTGATTGTTCCTGCTGCCATCAATAGTCAGTTCAAGGCCACAGCACAAGGGTCACCTCCTGGAGGAATTCTTTCCTGACACTTCATACCACACCCACCCCCAGCAGAAATGACCCCTTCTTACCCAGCTATGACTGTACCTTTAACAGGTTATTACATCTGTTTGTTTATCTGTCTCACCTCACTAGGCTAAGAGTTCCTTGAAGGTAAGGACTGTGAATTACTCAACTTGGAATCTTCAACAGCAAGCACGGGGCCTGGCATCTGACAGGCAGGGAGCAAATGTTTGCCAAACTCATGAATACTGTAGGGAGGAGCCAAGACAGGACTGGGTAGAAGAAGATGTTCGTTTATGAGCTCCTGATTTGTTCCATTTTTAACAGAAACAGTTGGCTCCTCCCTTACTGCTTAAGCAGCTATCTGAGTCAAGGTCAAGGGACTGACTCTACCATGTAGCCTAAGACCTGATCAAGTACAGAGGGGGTGATGGAAATGGAGGCTTTACAAAGAAAAAAGAGAAATGGAGGGTAGTTAATGGAGTGTTTACACTAAAGGCTAAGCCAGGGGTTGTTGCTTCAATAATAATACAGAGGAAAACTAACCCTCAAAAGCCCAGAGTAGGCCTGGCGCTGTGGCTTACACTGTAATCCTAGCACTCTGGGAGACCAAAGCGAGAGGATAACCTGAGGTCAGGAGATCAAGACCAGCCTGAGCCAGAGTGGGACCCCTCTCTACCAAAAATAGAAAAAGGCCAGGTGAGGTATCTCACACCTGTAATTCTAGCAACTCTGGGAGGCTGAGGCAGAAGGACTGCTTAAGGTCAGGAGTTCGAGACCAGCCTGAGCAGGAGACTCCATCTCTACAAAAATAATAATAATAATGATAGAAAAATTAGCCAGATGTGGTGGTGTGCACTTCCAGTACCAGCTACTTGGGAGGCTGAGGCAGGAGGATTGCTTGAGCCCAGGAGTGAGGATGCAGTGAGCTACAATGATGCCACTGCACTCTACCTGAGGCGACAGAGCAAGACTCTGTTTCAAAAAAAAACACCAAAAGATAAAAAACCCAGGGTATCACCCAGAGCAGAAGAACCCAGCTACTATGGAGAGAGGCTCACACCATAAATCTAGTAATTTTAAGAAATGATATGTTTTGAGCAAAAAACAAAATCTGTCCTTGGATTGTAACCTTAGCATACCAAATGAAAAGCAAAATATTTCAGAACAAATTAAACTAGGTCTTCATTATCCCTAGAGAAATACTGACACAAAAACTTTCACTTCAGTATTCCTTTAGTACTAATATGTTAGTGACCACTTCTAATTCTAAAAAAAATTATCACTAAAGAGGAACCTGGAACCAGGCCTCATGTTCAAAGCTAGCACTCACCCACCCTCACAAGGAATATGGCATCTAAACTTAGAGGTGTGACAGACAGAGGGCCTGCCACAGACCTAGCCCTGCCTCTGCCATCAGCCAGCGTTATCTGGCTTCCGTTTCCACATCCAAAAAAGGCTCTGAGGTTCTAAGGTCTCTCCCAGCCACAGAATTCTTCACCACTTCCACCCTTCTCTTCTTGTAACCCATCTGTTCCGCCGGTAGCCAGCTTTCCCCTCCAAAACACAGGGTGAGGAGGAGTCATGGAAAACCAGCATTCACTCTTCTGATTTTCTTTCTTGGGAAAGAGTGCTGTTGCCCCAACAGCTTGTGGTAGCAGCAGGCCCTCTAAGCTGGACTGTCAGCCTCATGGGACAGGGGCAGGCCTCTCCCACCTCTGTGAACCCAGAACATCAAAAACTGGGTGACTGTACCCTGCTGAATGTAATGTCACAGACACTCATTTCCTGTCCGTAAATTCCTCCAATGAGGAAGAACTCTGCCCTCAAGCCATGGCTCTGACCTGAGGGAAGCCACTTACCTCATCTCTGCCTCTCTTTCCTCATTTGTAAAATAGGGCTATTACTGGTACTTGCTTTGACTATCCCAGTAGGCTATGGTAAGGCTCAAAAGGGACAAAATACTAGGAAATGCTCAGTAAACTAGAAAGACCCAGGGCTTCTATTTATAGTCTTAGCCAAAAGCCAAAGACAGCAAAGGGCTATCTGAGAAAAGATGACAAGGCAGGCAGGCTTCTGGTCCTAAGAACCTGCAACCTAAGCCCACGGTTCACAGGGTTTACTTGCTTATTGCCCTAGATGCTTCCGGGTTAACCCAAGAGCCCACTAAGATTAAAGATACCCTAGAGTCTCCTTCAAAAACAGCTCCTGGCTTAGGGAGGCAGCAGCAGCAGGTGGGACCAGCAATGAAGCAACCGGAGCACCCTGTTCCCTAGGCAACCTCTAGGTCTGAGCCCTCCCCAGCCCACGACACCTGCTGAGAATGCCACAGTCCTGCTAGAGATGCGAGGTTATCCTACACTCTATGAGCTCTCCTCTGTAGAGGGGCAAGAGGGGCCTGACTCAGTCAGGCTTGGCTCCCAGGTGCTGGATAGGTGAAGTCAGACTCAAGTTTACATGTAATTTTTAGAGCAAATTATTTCCTAAACCATGGCTCCTCTGTCCATTAGTTAGGAAAGGGAACTGAGAAGATAAAACCAACATAAATCCTTTTCTTGCCTTGGACTAATCGAGAAAGGGGATGGTGGCAGTAGTGGTGAGAGTCTAGAACAAGAGAGTTTACTCCTTTGATTAATCATCTTCACCAACCCCATGCTGCCATGTGATGGGTGAGGACAAAGAACAGTTCTAGAAGCATGAACACAATTTAACCAGCTAATTATACTTCAGGGTATAATGATAAGAAGTTCTAACACTTTGAAGTCCAAAGTTCCCCAGAGAAGTATGGTAAGAGAAGTGACTAACCAGGCCAAAGTTACCCAGGCCTTCCCTTACCTCTCTTCCCTTCAATGCCTCCCCTTCAGACTCCCACTCACCCAGAAGTGGCCAGACTACAGCATCAAAAGATACCTAAACATGTATCAGATCTCAATGCCTCCTACTCCGCCTGCCCCCAAAAAGATAAAATTAAATTACTTAAGAGATGGCTTCTGCTTTCTCCCCCTATGGCTCCATGGATCCTTCCAATCCTACTAACCTCTCTATCCTGCCCTCTCCTTCGAGCCACTAACACTCTCGGCACTTCAATAGCCACAAATTCTTCTACTGGACTTCAAGATCTTTGCCCACAAGAATGTTACCGTATCCATTTTCTTTTAATCTCTAGCTCCTAGTCCAAACAGCACAAACATCAAACTTTTGTTAAAATTTCACCCCCTCCAAATCATATGAATTACCCTCAGCTTTCCTCTTATGCCAGCTAAGCCACTGTAGAGCCTCAGAGGTCCTTCTGAATCGCTTTGATATGCCTTGTGCCTTTGTCTTGCTTCCCTAGAATTGTTCACCAGACCCTCGGGGTATCACACTGCCCCCACCCCCACATTGTTCCCAAAGCTTTAGACAATGGGAACACCAGCATACACACTACCCTATCCTGAAGCCGTCTCTTCAACAATCTCCAGTGTTCCTCTTCTAGAACCCAACAGCAGAATGACTGTAGCAGGGACCTGTCCTGCCTTAGGTCCCAGCTTCATTGCTAAATAGTGGATTGGCCTCAGGCAAGTCAGCCAGTCTTCCTGGTGCTCAACTGAACTTGGATGATCCCCAAAGGCCCTTTCAGTTCTAAGAAATCTGGAATGTCTTCTGGGGGAATAGGAGGGCCCAAAAGTATTTCCTCTAAAAACGTAAGTCAACAAAAGTTCTGACTGGAAGAAGTGGTAAATCTAACCTCACTGTTCTGCCTGAGCGGCCCTTTCTCCTACATCTTCCGAGACTGATGCCCAGCATCTACCACCCTTCCCCTGCACTGCAGCAAACACAGAACAATCCACTTCCCCATTTAGAGCTTAATCCATCCATCAGCACATTTGTATGGGCCATCCCATCATACACAGTGTTCCTAAAGGGCCTTCCAAAAATAACAAACATCTAACAAAAAAACCTGGTCTCCACACAGGATCACTGGAGAGCTACAGGGGCCCAGAGAGAAAGAGAAAAAGATGCAAGAGAGAAGGGCAGAGAGAACAAAAGACAGGACAGAAAAATGAGAGAGGAGGCAGAGCCCCTGTAAGCTGGAACTCCGTCTGCCATAAATTCCGGAACTGAAGGCAGGAAACCACTTTTCTAGTCCCAGCTTCACCAATGACTGATGGGCATGGGCTTACCTTGAGCAAACCCTCACTTCCCATGCCTCTGCTTCCTCATTGGTTAAATGAGAAACACTTCAACTAAATATCTCTTGGGGAGCCTGGGATTGTGAAAAGATTCTGGCAGATATTATTAACTGGTACTCCAAGGCTGTAGTCCCCAAGCTCCGGGCCAAGGACAGGTACCAGTCCTGGCCTGTTAGGAACCAGGTTGCACAGCAGGAGGTGAGTGGTGGGCAAGGGAGCAGCCCATCCCTTACATCACTGCCTGAGCTCCGTCTCCTGTCAGATCAGCAGCATTAGATTCTCATAGGAGTTCGAACCCTACTATAAACTGCACGTGCGAGGGATCTAGGTGTGCACTCCTTATGAGAATCTAATGCCTGATGATCTGAGGTGGTGATGCTAGTGCTGGGGAGCAGCTGCAAATACAGACTATCATTAGCAGAGAGGTTTGACTGCATGATAAATGTAACGCACTTGAATCATCCTGAAATCCTCCCCTCCCCACAGTCCATGGAAAAATTATCTTCCATGAAACCAGGCCCTGGCACCAAAAATGTTGGGGACCGCTGCTCGAGGGCAAGTTATTTTCAGTTTCTGTCTATAATCTGGATGAATAATACTCACCTCACTGGGTTGCTGTGAGGTGGAAATAAGATAAACCTTAGAGACTAGGACAGTGTCTGAAACCGTGGGCGCTCAAATTTGTGCTGGGTAAGGCCCCTTCCTACTGTGACAGGCTGTTACTGAGTCCCACTAGACTCCCACAGGGCACCATTTCAGCTGGTTTGGAAACATATCCTGAAACTAGGCAAAATACAATGTTAGTCTAGACAAAAGAACAGCCAACAGGTTAAACAAGTGAACCTCCCAGGTGCTGTCCCAACAAATTCTAAAAATATTTTTAATTTTTTAATTTTTTAATTTTTTTTTTTTTTTTTTTGAGACAGAGTCTCACTTTGTTGCCTAGGCTAGAGTGAGTGCCGTGGCGTCAGCCTAGCTCACAGCAACCTCAAACTCCTGGGCTCAAGCGATCCTTCTGTCTCAGCCTCCCAAGTAGCTGGGACTACAGGCATGAGCCACCATGCCCGGCTAATTTTTTTCTATATATATTAGTTGGCCAATTAGTTTCTTTCTATTTATAGTAGAGACGGGGTCTCGCTCTTGCTCAGGCTGGTTTCGAACTCCCGACCTCGAGCAATCCGCCCGCCTCGGCCTCCCAGAGAGCTAGGATTACAGGTGTGAGCCACCGCGCCCGGCCTCTAAAAATATTTTTTAAGGTACCTATTTAATATTGCCCCCTCCCCAAATTAAATAACTATGTTTGTGACTATACTAAAATAATGTTAGTGTCTGGGGGACCTAGGGAACACACACATACACACTTTTACCTCATTAAATAGGGGGTATTAGCCCCACTTTACAGAAAAATGGAATCCAAGAGGCCTAGAAGTCTTTCCTCCCCCTGCTTCCCTACTGAAAAGGGCTCTATGCTCTTTGTTTTCAAAACTTAGTTCCTTTAGCTTCGGGAAAACTTCTCCTGACTTCAGCCCACAGGCACAGAGGCTCCTCTAAGGCCCCAGCATCACTGCCTGGATCCTGAAAAGGACAGCCAACCATACCCCTCCACAAAGCCCATTTTGCAGGCTGCATTTACCACAGGCAACTAATTCCCGCACAGACCACCAATTCTCTGTGCCCAAAAGTGCTCAACAAATACTGTTGAATGAAAGGGGAAAAAAGATAAACTCAGAAGACATAATTTGTGTAGAAAATACAAATCTGCAAAGTAGCAGCAGATATAAAACAGGAGGGGACAAGGTATATAATCCCGAAGTTTCGGCCAGGTAGATGATTGGCAAAAGTGGCTGTAATTGGTTCCAAGATCCCAGAGATATATCTCATGTGTCATCACATCCCTCTGCTTGGTTCCCATCAGAGCTAAGTGGGGTGAGCTTCTGTATTTGACTCGGCAAATAGAGTCCAGGAAGCCGATTTGCTAAATCTGACTTCTTAGGGCTCTGTGTTTCCAGTGACTATACTGCAATTCAGCAAATATTTACTGGCTGTCTTCTGTGCAAGGCCTGGGTGATCACAGAGATGAAATGGGGCACAGTTCTTACTCTCAAGGAATTCACAATCTACGTGAGAGGAATTATATGTTTATCCACATAACACTGTCAAATTGTTACTAGGGCCCAAAAGAAGGTTTTTTAAAAAAATGCTATGAGAACACAGAGGAGACAGGAACAAAGACTTCTGACAGGAGTAGCGGAGAAGTAAAAGAGAAAGCTTTGAACTGAACCTTGAACTCATGCACCCATTTAGTGAGCTACCAGGACAGTGTTTTGCATGCATAGTGCTGCTTGCAAAGAAAGATAAAGCAATGGGAGAACAATTCACCAAAAGGACAAGGACGGGGTGGTAGGGAGGTGACTGATAATCTCATGATTTTGTCTGCCTAGAACCACTAAATACTGCTATCTGGTAACAGCAAACAAATATCTGTCTGTACACCTTTATTCAAGGGGATGTTTAGGAGCTAAACTTTGGTATTCACAGTACTCAAAGTTGTGCAGGAAACACCTCCTCCAGGTCAAAAATAGCAAACCCAAGAGAACTGGCTGGTGCAGTCATGTTTACTTTTTACCATCTCCGTGGAGCCCTTTCCAAAGGCCCCCAAGTGGGATGGTATAAACAGGTCTGTGTCACTTCCTGGTTCTCAGGCCTTCTGCTACATTCCCAGTCAGTCTGGGAAGACTGCCTATTTAAAAATAAACTTTAAAAATTCACCCAAAACCCCAGCCCTAAACCACCCTTCCCTCTATTTCATTCAATTTCACTGAAATTAAAAGGAGAGAGCACGAAATGAAACAAAAATGACCACAGAGAATGAATCCTCAGGTCAAAACAAAAAATATGTGCTCAACTGAGCTCAATCAAGGGCAAGAAACTTGGATTCTCCTTGTGTTTTCATCTTTAAGTGGAAAAAGTAACCTCGAGCGAGCGAGCTGCTTCATCCCTCCACACAACATCTACTGCAACGTACTCTTAATTCCCATGCAGATATCCAGATTTCCTGGACTTCAGTTCCCTTATCCATAAAATGGCACTAATAATACCTATCTCATAGGGCTATTTTAAGTGTTATATGTGGAAATGTGTATTAAGCACTTAGCATACGTCTGGCACTTAGTAAGTCATTAAAAATGGTAGTTACTGTTATAGTCATCGCTATTTACCATTACTATTATCATTATCTGAAAACGTGCAGCTGAACTAAATGATCTCTACTTGAAGAGCTTCTCTGGCTCCAAAGCCTGATTCTTTAAGTCACTTTCTCCTTTTTTCTTTCTTTCTTTTTTGTTTTTTAGCGGGCTGGACAGCAAGAAAAGGGAGAGAAATTTGGCAAAGCACACATCGTCAGCCTTTACGTCAGAAACACTTATGATACAATTAGGAAATCCTTCAGTGAGTGAAATGGGGCATATTACTATCCTATTTCTTACATTAAACCCTTAGCACAGTGGCAAGTTCACCCACAAAACACCGCCTGCACTCCCATGAGCACTGAGAACAACACCTGCCCCCCTCCACCACCAGCACAATTTGACTTCACTGACCCTCATCTTTAACTGTATAGGCAAATTTCCCAGCAGCTCTTTAGAGCACCCTAAAAGATAGCACAAGTGGCCCATCTATCCATTTCTAATAATGACTAATTCTTCTACAAAGTATTTCTGTTTAAAAAGAATCTTCCTGGCCGGGCGCGGTGGCTCACGCCTGTAATCCTAGCACTTTGGGAGGCCGAGGCGGGCGGATTGCTCAAGGTCAGGAGTTCGAAACCAGCCTGAGCGAGACCCCATCTCTACCAAAAAATAGAAAGAAATTAATTGACCAACTAAAAATATATATAGAAAAAATTAGCCGGGCATGGTGGCGCATGCCTGTAGTCCCAGCTACTTGGGAGGCTGAGGCAGGAGGATCGCTGAGCCCAGGAGATTGAGGTTGCTGTGAGTTAGGCTGACGCCACGGCACTCACTCTAGCCTGGGCGACAGAGGGAGACTCTGTCTCAAAAAAAAAAAAAAAAAAAAATCTTCCTGGTCAGGTGTGATGGCTCTCTCCTGTAACCCTAGCAATTTGGGAGGCTGAGGTGGAGGATCACTTGAGACCAGGAGTTTGACATCAGCCTGAGCAACATAGTGAGACCCTGTCTCTACAAACACTAGAAAAATTAGCAAATTCGATAAAATGTATTTTTCCAGAATGGAAGAATATTCCTTGGGCAGATGATAAGAATAACTCAAGAAGTCAGAGTTACTCAGTTCTTAGCTAAGCAATCCAGCCCAGGACAGCAAAATCTCTTCCTCATTAAGCACCCTGGGCTGTCACCCCATTCAGAGTCCGGCCTGGGGCTCTATACATCTTGGAGGGCTCATTAATGTGGTAATTCATTAGTCCATGCATGTTGATCTGGTCTCCCCACTAAACTGTAAACTCCCTAGAAGGCTGAGGCCCCATTTGTTTTATGCTTCCTTTGTAACCCTGAAACCTACGCACATTCAAAATGCAAGAGGTGGCCAAGAGGGTCTCTCCTCCCCAAAATACTCTGCCTGAACCAGTAGTTCTCAACTGGGAGCAAGACTTGGCAATGTCTGGAGGCATTTTTGGTTGTCACAACTTGGGGGGGGTGGGATGCTACCAATATCTAAGGGGTAGGGCCAGGGATATCAATAAACACTTGAGATATATATATTTATATAGAATAGATTATAAATTATATTATAAAATTATATGTTATATATAATATGTTAAGCATAATATATAATAGAATATATATTATTATAATAGAATATAAATATATGTTTCTAAATATGTTTAGAAATATATAGTCTTTATCTTATTTTCTGGCATACTCCTAAAATCCTTAGAATCTCCAAAATGCTGTCTTTTTTATATGCTAATGTTGACAAATAACTTCTGGATGGGGCTGGCTGATGGAAAAACCAAGGCAAGATTAGAAGGTTGAGACTTTCAGCTCCACCTCCCCCAACTTTAAGGGAGGGGAGAAGTGGTGGAAGATCGAGTTGATCATCAATGGTTTAATCAATCATGCCTAGGCCTCCATAAAAACCCAAAAGGACTAGGTTTGGAGGGCTCCTGGATAGCTGAACACATGGGTGTTCCTTGAGGGCAGCACACCGGGGAGGGCATGGAAGCTCTATACCTCTTCCCCCATACTCACCCTATGCATCTCTTCATCTGCATCCTCTGTGATATCTCTTATAATAAACTAGTAAACGTATGTAAATGTTTCCCTGAGTTCTGTGAGCCGCTGTAGCAAATTAATCAAACCCAAAGAGGGGGTTGTGGGAACCCCAACTTGAAGCCAGTGGGTCAGAAGTTCTGGAGGCCTAGACTCACAGCTGGTAGGAAGGAGGGGCCAGTCTTGGGGACTGATCCCTCAACCTGTTGGACCTGACACTATCTCCTTTGGGCAGAAAATGCCAGAACTGGATTGGAGGACACATAGCTGGTGTCTGCTGCAGAAGTGAACTCTTGTTTGTGGGAGAGAAACCCCCACGTTTGGTCACAGAAGTCTTCCTCTGTGTTGATGACTGTTGTGGTGTGACAGCAGAGGAAAAAAACACAGTTTGAGTTCTTCCACAAACAACATCCTGCATGCACAGGACAACCCCCCACAACAAAGAATCATTTCGCCCAAAATGTCAATAGTGCTGCAGTTGAGAACCCTGACCTGAGTGAATACATGTTGCGCTCTAGACGTCAGTAGATCTACCTTAGTTGTACAAGTGGTACAAAAGTCCCCTACACCACTGGAAAGCCTTTTGTCCGGCCCCCATGTCTGCAAACCAACATGTAGATCCTCTCATGCTCTCCAACTCAGGCTCACAGTCCCTCAGAGGAGCTCAGGGACAAAGGCATCTGGCTTTTACCCCAGCTCTGGGGCTGGCTCTGATTCTGGACATGTCACAAAACTTTTCTGGGCCATTTCCTCCTTGGGAAAAGAGAGGGGTTGGAAAAGACGTTCTTCCAGCTCTAAAATTCTATTTTAAATGCTAGGTGTGGTCTTATCTATTTACAGTGAACCAAAAAGAAAGGGCAAGGAGTATGCAAACCACCTTCTCAAGGACAATGGCTCTTACACTGTGGAAACCCCACTGGACCAAAGGCAGCTCAGAGAAGCCAGGAGCTCAGGTAAGAGGGGCCTGGGAAAAAGCTCTGTGGACAGGGGCTGAGAGGCCTGCCCAGGCCCTCAGGTTTGAAATATGAAAGTCCTGACCAGCTTCCCCCCTGCCTTCCCCAGGCCAATCTTTTTTTTTTTTTTTCTTTTTTTTCTTATACAGGACAATTTTTCCATGGAGGGCCAATCTTTTTAATGAAGTTTTAAAAGACACACACACACACACACACACACACACCAGTTCAGAACCTCCAAGCCCAGAGTCACCAAGAGTGATGGAGGTAAGTTACCTTCTTCTCTCCTATGTCTACACAAGGTCAGTCAGAAAGAGGCAAGGCTTGAAGCACAAGCTAAATAAAAGCTCTTTCCAGTGAGTGATTCAGCCCACCCCTGCTGTATAAAGATTCCCTAAGAGGAGAGAGGGGAAACTGGGTGGTAAGCTCAAAGGTACAAACTCTGATGTGAACAGACTCATCATTTGCATCTGAAAGGAGAACAACAGGGTCCAAAGTTTCATTTCTAAAGATTCTTTTCTTTTTTTGCTGCTGCTGTCTTACATTACATAAAGATTCTTGGGGGCATGGGCAAAGGGCAAAGCACACACACAGAGAAAACAAAAATGCAGCAAGGCTTCTCCTAGCAGAGTGGAGGGGGCAGCAGCTGGAACAAAACCAAGACCTGCGTAACAGCACTGGGACAGAAGACAGGATGTGGGAACAGGGGGCCTGACTCTGCCATGTAGTCAGTACACTGAAGGAGATTAGGTTGCTGCTCACCCCACAATCCCTCCCCTGCACAGGTCGCTCACCCCTCTCACCCCACCCGCTGTCACAAGCAGCAGATGGCCCAGCCCCAGGCAGCTGGCAGAAGACACCAGGGCAGGAGATGGGGAGGGGAAGGGCAAAGTCAAGGCCCATCCCTGGTAGAAGCAATACCTAGCAAGAGTGCCCTGGGGAGTAAGGGTAGCAACATCACCCTTTGCTACAATGACACACACCTCAAATACAGCTCAGCATTGTCCTAGGTTCCTAGCATCTTCACACAGCTTGGAAAGAGAAAGTCTTGGGGGTGGTGAGCATTTGGGAGAGGTGGGCCCAGAACAGTTCTCAGAGTGCACTAGGGCATGTAGGCCTAGGAGAGATCATTTATTCGTTCAACATTTACTGTATATATACCACATTCCAGGCACTGTGCCTGCAACTAGGGATATAGTCTCTGCCATCAGGAAGCTCATGATAAAGCCAGGAAGAACAAGGAAACAGACAGTAATAGAGTAAGTACTAAGCACAGGGTGCTATGGCAGCACAGAGGAGGGGCACCCACACCAGTGTAGGGGCAAGCAGCAGTCTAAGCTGACACCAGGCTTTAGCAAGAGGTGAAAGCAAAAAGAAGCGGGAACAGGGAAGGTGGGGCATTCCAAGGAGAAACACAGAGGCAAAAGCTTGGAGGCACAGGCGAACCAGGAAGTGCATGCTGTTCTGTCTCAGCGTTTGTTAATTCTGGTCACCTACACCAGGAACAGACTATCCTAACACATTACTGCCTAAAGGAACTTTGGGATCAGCTTGTAAAGTCCAATCTACTCATTTTAAGAAGGGGAAACTGAGGCCTATCAAAGGATCATGACCTACCCAGGAACACACGGCTTGTGAATGGCTGAAATACAACCCGGGTCTCCTAAACTCTTACTAAACAAAGTTCCCTCAAATATCTCCCAGTCAGAATCTGACCACTGACTGAGACCTTCAGGACGGAGTGCCAGCCCCAGGACTGTACTCCACTGGGCTAGGTCTGTTCAGAGCCCCCAGGCCATGGCTCTCGTCCAGGCCTCTGCTAAGTTAGGAAGTCCAGCAGCATTAGTCCCAGGAACTCCAACGTGGCAGGAACAGCTCAAGAGAAAGCAAGAGCGGCCCAGGAGGCAGAGGGCACACCCAGCAGTACTGGAGATAGGTTGTGTATGTGCGTGTGTTGGCAAAAATGAAGGGTTGTTCTGAGAGCTGAAGGAAATGACCAGCCAATACAGAAATAGGAGGCGAGTATGAGGTACTGCCAAACCAGCCAGACTTAATTAAGACTCTCCCACCCTCTTCCCCAGGAAGCCCACCCCCTCCTCTGGCTGGTCACAGTAACTGACCTGTGAGAAGCAGTCATTTCAGGCAAGCTGAAGGCCTCCTCTTGGCTTAGCCTTAGAAGGTGGGCCACCAGCCAGGGAGACAAGCCACTGGAGCTCCAGGGCCCAGCTGCCCTCACTGTCACTTCCATCTCTGCCTCCAACAGCACTTGCTCTATCATGGTCCTCCAGCCTTCAGCCTGCCGCCCACTCGGGATCAGAGTGTGTGCAGAGTGGAAGAAAGCACTCATTAGCTTTGAGCATAACCCGTTATAGACTCTAAATAGAAGGCACAGTTATTTAACTGCCAAGGCAGAATTCCTCCTCTTCTTATAACAAAACAAAGATGCACGTCAACACCCAGCTTGCTGGTAAAAACTGTGCAGAAAGAGCTACAGGGCACCATAGTTAAAGCCTGGTGACCCTCAGCTCCATGACCTTGAAGTATGGGTGTGATGAAAACATCCTGATGATCAGAAATCTTTCCTGTCCAAAATGTCCTCAGATTCTGCCTCTGACTGTATGCTCAAGTGCAATCACCAAAGGCTTGCCCTGGCCTTCAGGGCCAATGCCAGCCCAGGGCCCCAGACATGGATATTCAGGGCAAGAAAGTGGCCTGCCAGAAAAACTGACTTACTCAGGAGCTGAAAAGCCATGTTTGGTCTAGTACAACAAAGGTGTTATAATGGGAACCCTGTGTCCTAAACTCCTTCACATCTGCCACAAGGAACCTCCGGGTGGAGGTAAGGGTTTGTATGTGTGTGCTATGCACTTATGGAGAGGACAGAGGGGACAACAGACTTCCTTCTCTTCCACCCAAACAACCCTTTAGAACTTGCCCTCCTGAAAGGCAAATAAATGTAGTTCTGATTTCCAAACCTCACTGTTTGAGAGAACTTCTTGTTTTCTCTCTCTGCTTTTTAAAACAGATGAATGCTTCCCTAGGGGAAAAAGCAGCTGTAAATATAGAAGAGGGTGGAAAAAGAATCCTGCTTTGAGTTCCAGAGGAACCATTGTACTATTGTAAAAGCCCTTCTCAAAAGAAGCAACACACCCTCTTCCAAACAGAAAACACACAACTTCATCCAAAGTTCTTCTCTACAGTGTGACCTTTGGGCAGATGATTTCTCCACATGCTGCTTCCTCCTCTACTTGACACAAAGGCCTTCACTAAAGTGAGTTAGCAATTTTCTTCCTGGGAGCCTTAGAAAGAACTGGCTCACAATACAATCAGTGCACCTGCTACTGAGTGTCCTTCACCATCATTAACATCATCATCATCATCAATCATCAAAGGATGACACTTTATTACCAAACTGCTACAGACATTTAAACAAATTTAAGCCATTATCTTTTTAGGCAAACTAAGCCCACGTTATTTACTAGTTGAGAATATAATGGGAAGAGGGTATAAATCTGAGATAGGCGGCCTGGCTTCTACATTTATTACTTTCCTAAAGCAACAGCACTTTTCAAAGGTTCAGGGTTCTGGGAAATCACCCACTAGCTTATTAAATCCCTCCATCATAACAGTAGAAGGGCTACCACCCCAAAATCCATATGCCAAAAATAAAAGGTCTTAAAAGGGGTTTTAAAGAAAGTTTGTAGGCCGGGCGCGGTGGCTCACGCCTGTAATCCTAGCTCTCTGGGAGGCCGAGGCGGGCGGATTGCTCGAGGTCAGGAGTTCGAAACCAGCCTGAGCAAGAGCGAGACCCCGTCTCTACTATAAATAGAAAGAAATTAATTGGCCAACTAATATATACAAAAAATTAGCCGGGCATGGTGGCACATGCCTGTAGTCCCAGCTACTTGGGAGGCTGAGGCAGGAGGATCCCTTGAGCCCAGGAGTTTGAGGTTGCTGTGAGCTAGGCTGACGCCACGGCACTCACTCTAGCCTGGGCAACAAAGCGAGACTCTGTCTCAAAAAAAAAAAACAAAGAAAGTTTGTGAGAAGAAAATTCAAGCTGGTTTTATTTTCATATAAGTGACAATTACATGCTTTTTCCCTTTGCAACCACACTTCCTACCTAGAATCCCAGTAAATTTAGATGTGTCCCTCAGATTTAAACTGGGTAACAGGGAATTGAGCTGGCTGAAACTGGGCCTAGGCTACAGATGTTACCAACCTATTTCACAATCCTAGGTGGATCTGAGAAATGAAAGGGAGATGGGAGGAAAGTCAACCCTCTGCACTTGGATGTTGAGTGTGACTTGACATGGTTAGCAAAAATTGTAGAGATTAAAATTACTCTTTGAATGTATAATAATTTGAAATATAAAAAAATCCAAGTAAATAAGTTTGTATGAAAAGAAACTCCAGTTTTTCATTCTACTGCCACGCTTTGTAAAATCTGGGGTATTAAAAAATTAAATCCCGAGTAGAATAAAGGAATCGAGAAAAAAGCGAGTGCAAAGGGTTAACATGATGTTTAAAGCTCCACCAAAGTCAGAAGTGGAGGATGCTGCTTTTAATTTCATGTAAGATTCTATTATTCAAAGAAAAAATGCAAAGTAAGCCTCTAAGCCACATCAGTGACAGGCAAAGAAAGAAAATGTATTTGCAGAATACATTCAAATCCCCAAACTTCCCAGAGGAATCAACATAAATGCCAGCAATACAAATAAATCCTCAGTCGGACAAGTCTGCTCACTATTGCCCCTAAGTGTCCATTCCCTGTGGCCAGGTACCTTTCACACCCTTCTGGGGTGATTCACCATAGAACCTGGATCAAACAGCGGCATCTGGCCTCACCACCATTCCCTAAGAACCCTGTCAACTCCTACGATGAGCACATTTTCCACATAAACCTGGATTTCAAGAGAATCTCAAGATGGGATGAACTTTTGAGGGACAAGTCTGACCCTTCCTGCTCTTTCCATTTCCTCTCAGGTCTTGGTTCCCAGAGTCCTAAAGGACTGTCCCCAGCGTCCAGAACCTGTTTTGTACAAGGTGACCCAAAATCCTACTCGGAACCATACTCCCAAAGCACTGTCAGATCACCTTTTACCTCCAATGGTCCACCTTCACCCATGTATCATCATTTCCTGACAGTCTATATACAGCTTACAAAATGCACAGATATGGTCCCCAGTCCACCAGACGCTTTCAGTGGAGTTGGGGAGGCTGCACACCAGGCAGCAAAAAATCAAGACACACAATGAGGCAGGCATATGGATTTCAGTATTCTATATGGGTGCAATAAAATGCTAAATAGTGAGGTATGAGTAATTAGAAAATAAGGAAGAATAAGCAGCAGCTATTTGTGGGTTATGGACTAATAAAGAGAAAAATAGGGAAAAAAAGAGAAATGGATCTGAACCAACATAATCAAAGAAGTTCTTAAAAAGAAAAGAAGGGAGATCTGATCTAAAGCCTTGAGGGCTGAATAAGTATGGAGACAGAGAGAATATTTAAAAGGGAAAGAGGGAACATTCCTTCTGGGGCAGGAATGCTGAAGTAAGCAAGCTAGATGGGGGGAGGCGGGGGAGAGAAGCCAAGGATCAGGGAAGAACAGAAAATAAATTCCATTCTGAAATGCTTCAGGGCAAGGGACAGTTCTTACTGGTGTTCCTAGTATCTCTGCCACAGGGCAGACTCTGGTTATTTCACAAAGCATTTAGTATGCATACATTAAGTAAGGCCTTTCTAAGGTCATTATTCAAACCAACCTTAAGGCCAGTTAGCACAGCTATGAAAAACAGGCAGAGAAATTCAGCCTTGATCAGTAGGTAGTGGGGAGTCAACAAATGTTCTTGAGCAGGAAACCTGACCTAATCCAATTCAACAAGCACTCACTAATGGCCTCCTGTACAAGAGGAGAATCCTTGGCCCTCAAGGAGCACCCCACCATAGGAAGGGATGGCAGTACTACCTCCCATACACACAAGGCTTTGCTCTCTCTTACCTAGTCTCACCGGAGCACGGCCAGGCGTGGTGGCCCATGACTGTAATCCTAGCACTCTGGGAGGCGAGGCAGGCGGACAGCCCAAGGTCAGGAGTTCAAAACCAACCTGAGCAAGAGCAAGACCCCTGTCTCTACTAAAAATAGAAAGAAATTAATTAGCCAACTAAAAGTATATAGAAAAAATTAGCCGGGCATGGTGGCACATGCCTGTAGTCCCAGCTACTAGGGAGGCTGAGGCAGTAGGATTGCTTGAGCCCAGGAGTTTGAGGTTGCTGTGAGCTAGGCTGATGCCATGGCATGCTAGCCAGGGCAACAGAGTGAGACTCCGTCTCAAAAAAAGAAAAAAAAAAAAAAAAAAGAACCGTGTTCAGGGGAGATGAACTTGGCAAAAGAGACTAAGGCAGGCTAGAAGGCCAGGCAGGATGACAAGGTCTGGCCATGGTGGAGAAGGCAGGAACCTACATTAGAAAGAATTGGCAGGGGCTGGTCACAGACTAGACTGGAGGAGTCAGGAGAGGAGGGGGCGTCTTGGAGGAGAGCAAGAAGACTCAGGTTTCGATTCCCAGATGGTGCTGTTATCTTCAGGCGATGCTTTGGATCAGTGAACACCAAATGCTAAGGTCAGTCAGTTCAGCCATTCTGCCTGTTTCCGGGAATAGGGGTACACATTCCATCCTTCCCATCTGCCTGAGGCTTTTTTTATGCTGGTTGTGATTTCCTGTAATTCCCCTTTGCAAGTGGGGGGGGCGGTCGATGAGAAGACAAGGAAAGGAGGAGCTGACAATTTCTTTAGCCGGTCACACCATGTTAAATACAGCTCAATAGTCCTGCAGTAAAGTTTTACTGGCAGCTCTTATTCTGGGAAGAAGAGAAAAGGGGAAGGAAGCATTACATTTTAAAAGCCACGAGAGAAGTGTTCTCCTTGCACAATGAGTTTTCCCCTTCTAGGCAGAGCCTCCCCAGCTGCATTTAGTGAAGGAGGAAGGAGACATAGAAGTATCAACCCTAAGAGCCCCAGGAGGACCAGCCTGGCTCCCAGAAATGCAGCCCCTCCCTCTGAAGCCCAACACCCTGCCAGCCACAGGCATCCCTGATCGGCTGGAGACAGAAGTCAGCACAAGAGCAGGGCAAACAGCGGTGCTCTCTGGAACGGCTGCGATTAACCTGTTATTTCCAAATCTTTCTCCTGGGGGAAACAAGTATAACTTGTACTTTCTTAAAACTTTTTTAAAACAAGTAAGTTACTGCGGGAAACATTTGAGTTGTACATCTTTACAAAGAAAAAATGCAATTTAGCCTTCTTTCCTAACCATTAAACAAACATATGGAAAAAAAGTGCCCAGACCAAATTGTTGTTGGTTATAACAACTTGGTAAGTATTTTCCTTCCACCTGTGAGAGATTTTTTTTTTTTTAAGACAGATTCTCACTCCATTGCCCGGGCTAGCGTCAGCCTAGCTCACAGCAACCTCAAACTCCTGACCTCAAGCGATCCTCCCGCCTCTACCTCCCAGACTGCAGACTTGAGACATTGCACCCAGCCCACCTATGACAGATTCTGGCTACCCTAGAACAGTCGCACGGTGCCCTTCCACACAGAGTGGTCATAACTCCATCCCAGTAACATGAAACCTTGGGATAACAATAATAGTATCAGTATTATTAACTGACATTTGTGTGCTTATTCACTGCACACAGATCTAAGCATTTTACATCTAATATCTGATTTGATCCCCACAACAATCTTAAAAGGTAGGTAATTATTATCTCCATGTTTAGGCAAGGAAACCAAAGCACAGAGAGGTTAAATAACCTGTTCAGGGTCACACGGATAGAAAGTGATAAAGACAAGATTTCACACTAAGCAGTCTGACCCCAAAACATGCAACCTTGGTAGAGGTTCAAACGTATTCCGTGTTATATAATGTAATTCATTTTAAATGTTAAAATCATCCTGTATGTATTATGGACCAGGAGTCTTCATTATGAAAAGAAAAAGAAAAGCTGTGAAGATTGTTCCACTGCTGCTTGGCAGCTATAGACCCTCCTGAGGTGAGGTGGGACCTGATTTCCCCGCTCTACTTCAGACTGTGAACAGAGGAAAGCTAGTTTAACATGGGATAAGAGGGTGCTGATTTTGAAGGTCTAGGGTAGGCCCAGCGATTCTGGAGCATACTCTGAGA